ACGTTTGTATTACTGGGGCTTTTAGAAGAGATAACAAATGGGGATTAACGACAAAGAAAAAAATAAAGCCTCCAYTCTAGGACACAACAGAAGTAAAACAAAGTGAGAAAGAGCCAGTAAATAAAAGTTACTAAATACCTACTAGTGGCTTTCTTTGTAACACTGGATTTTACAACAAATTGTTTAAAACAGCACCTGAAGGATACTTCCATGCATTCACACTCACAAAGGTATTAGGACAGTTACTGTTACATAGATAATAAAGTTGGAGTCAAAGCCAGGAACAGACAATGTAGTTTCCCCTGTGAAGTCAGCACTTAAATGGCATCAACAGTGTGTTAAGACTTCTCTCACTTGTCAATTTTCATGAGAAAAGTAACAGATAAAAATCTATTCTTACCATCAGCCTTCTTCAGGGCTTCCATAACCTTAACAGGCAGAGAAGATCCAAAAGCCTTAACATCATAGTTAATAGTCTCACTGGCCGCAGGAAGCTGGGTAACTCTGGTAGGAGTTGCTCTTAAAATAAAAAATTAGAGTTAGCATTTTATTGCTTCTTTGTCAGTTTCAGCAGACATKTACTTCATTAATATCTATTTAGAAACAGACTAAATAAACATGCACCCTCTGGGAGCACCATTTAAGGCAGTGAGTTGGTGGCTTCCCTACAAATTGTTAGCTGTCATCTCTTTAAAGAACTGACTTTGAATATGCATTACTCCACCAGCAACAAAATCACTGTTCAACTTTTCTACACTCTGGTTATCTACAGAATAAAGACACTGACAATTTCAGAAGCTTAGCAGCAGCTCTTCCCTTTCTGCAGGGCATACTTCCAAGGCTAGCTCTAGCAGTGCTGTGCAACACTTTGAGCACCCATGGCAGCTTGCATCAGACAGCACTTCAGTAAAACTGCCCSTTTTACTGCGGAGACTGCAGTTCTTATCTCTTTCACAATGTAATTTACTAAAGCTGCTTTGCATCTTTCCCCACCTTCTCTCTCTGGAATAATATACGTCCGTCTTGTCTTTTGAACACAATTAAATGGACAAATTTGTCTGCTTTTAGAAGTTAATGCCCTCTTTTTATTTCTCCTCACAAGTAAAATGATGTTTCAGACCTCCCAGTGTGAAATCGCAAAAGTTGATGATACACAGCTAGCAGACAATCCAGACACCCAGTTTGCAAAAATTATTAAGTAGACCTGAAGTGAAAGTYTCCCAGTACTGAACACGAGCAATCCTCTTTATCTCAACAACAGAACAAATATCTGCAYCCGAGGAAAATTATTATGGACCTGAAACTGATCTGGATCTCCTGTTGTATCGTAGTTTTGATTCATATGGAAGGGAGAAGGCAGGAAGCTGGAGAGAGGGATAGGTGTGAAAGACCTAAACTTTGACTAATTTATCTTCTTTTAAAATACGGAAGTTCTTMTTATTCTGACATCGTACGTGTATCACACAGGGAAACAAGTGAGGCACCTTCGAATTCAAAACCCAGTAAGAGCTTTTCATAACGCTGAGCACGCAGCACCGTACATTTATGGCTTTAATGTACACTACTGTATGGTAACCCACACTGGCTCGAGCACCTAACAACGAGGTCTGGTTTGCGGCGGAACTCACCGCGCCGAGAGGGAGCCGCTCCTCCGCGCCGCCGGCGAGTACAACACTGGGGAGGGGGCTGCCGCCATCACGGGCAGACTCTTCTTGCCGCCCGGCCGGGAGAGAGGACTGGGGGCGGCGCTGCCGAGGGTCCTGCGGGCCGACCCGCCCGGGGTCCGCGGGGATGCGGGAGCCGACGGGAACATGGCTGTGGATGCGGGAAAGCCGCTCGGCCCGCGCTCCCGCCAGGCGCCCACTAAGCGCGTCACCCCGGGGCGGGGCCGCGCGGGAGCAGCCGGGAGCCGAGCGCGATCGGCAACAGCCGAACGAAGCCGAATGCGACCGGCAGCAGCCGAACGAAGCCGAATGCGGCCGGCAGCAGCCGAACAAATCCGAGTGCGAGCCGGCGGAGACGAGCGCGACCAGGAGGAGCTGGGAAGAGGCCGGGAGGACCCGAACGACATCGGGTGGAGCCGAACAGAACCGAGAGCGGCGCGGCCCCTGCCGGAGAAGAGCGGAAACCCCGCGGCAGTTGTCCGGATACCTGTCCGGGATTCCAGYGGGGGATGTTACACCGGGCTCATCCTCAGCGGGCCGAGCCCTCGGCCTYAAAGTAAATCACGGTCCTCTCGCTCAGATATTAACCTGAAAATAGGGTTGGGCCTCCGGGACGTTCCCAGGAGGATTCACAAGGCTGGATTTGGGTACCATTCCTCATTGAGTTCATGCAGTTAGCTGGCGCTAATGAACTGTAGCAGGTAAAGGCTGGATATGCTCAAAAAGCAGCTGTTTCAGRGCTCATTTGGAAGGATATGTTTTCCCCTGAGTTGCCTTTTCTTTAAAAGAGCCATAAGCTGTGTTTGTCTCCAAGTCTCAAATAAATAAGCAAAAACACACTCCACGCAAACCTTGGTAGGTTTCACATCTACGCTAACTTAACAACCATGGRCTATGCTATTGGATGGTACAGAAATAGATTTTAGCCTTCAAGGGGAACTAAACCTCACAGAAAGAAAATGCTCAATGGCATTGGTTTGCATGAAAAAAAAACTTTAATAAGGCATGTATCATCTGCTTGGAGATGATGTCGAGTTGAATGTACATACTAATCAGTTAAGGTAAAATTAACTAAAAATAGAATTTAAAAAAAAATCCCATAACTTTTCAAAAATATGTTCCTTGATAATAGAGTCAGGGCTGTTAGGCTTTCTATGTRGATTGTGGTCCCACATGACTGAACCCAAAAGGAAGATCTGGCAGCACTGATGTATGGTACCTTCAGCGTCAGTGCTGTCTTTTTCATTCCAGTCATCTTCTTTGGCTTTAATATTATGTGAAAAGCAAAATACCAAAATTCAGTGGAGCTTCACTATAATGTAACATTAATATAGTACMGTTCTATAGAGACTTCTTTATACATATGATTCTAAATCATCATGCTACTGTCACTTCATCAAGAAAAACAAACAAAYCAAACCAGGAAATGCACACACAAATAAGCAAGTAAGGAAAAACCTGAAAAAAATGTCAAGCTGACATCCACATTTYTCAACATCCATATTTCTCAACATCCATGACTGGTGACATTCAAATTATTTTAAAAAATGAAAGCTCCTCTTCACAGCTTGTTCCTGAAATATTTCAGATGATGCAAGGTGAATTGCTGCTTGAACTCAGCTACACTTCCTCAGAGAATTAGTCTGCTTCCTTTTGCTGTCCCAGCCCTGTGTGTAAGAGCTTCATCCTCAGGMGAGAGCATACAACTCAACATTCAAATCTCATTTTCAACACAGAAACTATTTATACTGATACCAGTTAGGCAYTTAACCAGTTCTTTTCTGTCCCATAAATATCCCAAGGAGTATTTTGAGTGGTTCTGACCCAAATAAAGTCTGCTAACCAAGGTACCTGTAAACATTTGCCCTTCCGTGGACTAGAGCTTTTGTGTAACTTTTCAAACATCACTGTAGGCTGCAATACCTGCCAGAACAACTAATGAACAAAAGACATGAAACATTCAGTTCTACTGCAAATATTTCCTGTAACCYATGTAAATACAGGAATAAAGGGGCTCGTAGTGCTCATGTAAGGAGAAATTACATGAGTAATGATTAAAGATTCAAACCCCTTTAAACACATGAACKGGTAGTCAACACTGAAATGAAACATTGAGTCAAGAGCAATTTTGGCATAACGTACAACATATGTAATAAACATCTGGATGTAATTTTATTTTCATTCTCTAATGTTTTCACTATATTCCACAAGGCAGCACTAAAGGCATGATGTAGGTTAAGGTTTCTCCTTTTGTTTCCTTTCTTGGGGAATTTTTCTTTCCCATTTTTGTTGCTGGGATACACTGATTGTCAGGTCATCCTTTTGGTGGCTGGGCAATTGGGGAAGACAAAGAGAACCTACACCCCACCCACCCCACCCAAAGAATCTCCCTGGGCACTCCTCCTTCCTGGCAGGTTTTTTTTTTATCCCTCTCTTTGGAGTGAGGGAAGTTCTCGTGGCTTGGGGAGGGTGTGTGGGTGTGGGGGTGTGTGTGTGTCTGTGTCTGTGTGTCTGTGTGTGTGTGGGGCGGGGGTACGTTCACTTCCTGCTCTGCTTGGCTCGGGGGAGGGAGGGTCGGCCTGCTGCCTGTGGGGCAGAGCTCACCTGCAGAGCCCAGCATCTCCGGTCTTTGGTTCCTGTTTGCTGCACTGTGATCTTCTTCCCCCGTGCCTTGCCGGGGACCCCTGGGATTCCAGCTGCAGTGGTTGAGTTCTGCTGCATCCCATCTGCAGCTGCAGGATTCTGCTTGTCTCTTTGCTTATTTGGCCGTTCTGGGGTTTCTTGCTGTCCAGAGGAGCACCGAGATCGGCGTTTTCCACGGTGAATTTGTAGAAGAACTTTTTCTCCGTCCACCTCTGCCGGTTTGTGTCCAGTGTTGGCCATGAGGGAGATCTGAACCTAGCCAGGACCCGCGCCACAGCGTCCCGTGCAGCTGCCGGAGAATCACCACACCCGCCCTGCCTGGCTGGGAGCCAACAGCGCCCTCTGCCAACTGGGACTGTAACTGCACCAAAGGGGAGGGTGTGTCTCTGTGTGAGGCTGTCACTGGGTTTGTGGTTGGGTTGGTTGTTGTTATCATTGTTGTTACTTGTTTCACCTTGTTATACATATTAGTAAAAACTGTTGTTCCCTTTTACCCATATTCTTGCCTGAAAGCCCGTGATTTTCAAAGCTGTAATAATTCGGGGGGGGGGGGGGGGGGGGGGGGGGATCATATCCACCATTCCAAGGGGGATCCCTGCCTCCATTGGCAAGCACCTGTCTTTCAAACCAAGACAAGGCACTAACATTTTAAGCTTGCCCAGTACTAACTATTTCAGCTATTGCCAATAAGGTCTTCCAGCAACAAGTTTTCCTAGCATAGATGAATTTTAATGTGACCTGAGAAGTTTCTAAGCTTTTTTAAATCACCTTGTGGGGTTTTGCATCTTCAGAGATTCTGCTGAAAGAGACTCATCWATTAGAAACATGAGGCAAACTCTTCACTGCCAAACATATCCYCCTGCAGTTATTCAAATTAATGTAATGCTGTTATTTTACTGGTTGTCCTTGAGGTTGTTTACTAGTTGTTTCTAATAAAGTGGTTAGGCAAAATTCATGTTTTCTATCACTGAAATTTTAATTGACAATAGAAAACTTACATATATCTTAAAAAAGGACAAACACATATATGGGAGGGCATGTTCTTTCAGATGTCATCTCAGAAAGGAAGTGAAACTAAAGAAATGGGAAAATAGAAAAGGGAAGAAAATGCATGTAAATTTTAGATTTTCCTATGCTGACTTCRTATTATAATACACTTCCTTTGCCCTTAGGTAAAGTCAGTTTTTTTGTTTGGTTACTTTTTTTGTTGCATTAATTGTTTTATTAAAGAACTTTCCTCCAACTCATGCCTTCATACTCTCCGAAATGTGATTTTATATGTAATTCTCTACAGGAACTGTAGATGGGGATCATAATCAAGTTCAGAACACATAATGGCATTTCAGAACAAATGGTAACTGGAAGGACAGTGCAGTGGAAGTCAGACAGAACTTTCAAGAGTATTTTAGTGTCATGCATTTTGAATTCCAACATTTTAAGACTACTGACAAGCACAAAACACAAGMGTTCCTTGGAAAGAGAGAGACAATGATATGAAAATGATAAGATTGTCATTTAATTACCTTTAAAATACTGAATTTACTTGATAATGGAGCACATCTTCATACAGTGCATTACAGCAAACAAGATTCTAGACAGTCTAAAAGTAACACAAAGCAGAGAAATCTGTGCACTGAAATTATCTCAGYGTGGCAGATATTTTTAAAAGTTACAATAGTTATTAAAAAGCTTTCAATAAAAAGTTAAAACACATTAAGTTTCAAAAGAATATTTCRTACATTTTGGAAAAATATAACATTTACTTTACATAACTGAAACATAAGTTATAGTCTTTGTAGTTTGTAAGTTTCCMTTATTCATACATTGTCTCATATATTTTCTTTTAATATATCCTTTTCTCTGGATTGTAAATCTAATGCACAAGTATCATTGTTCTGAAGAAAAGCTTGTTTCTGCATTARTTTCCTGAAAAGTCCATTTGGATTTGCAAGTAGTTCCTCATGTTTCCCACATTCAAGAATTTTACCCTGGCCAAGGACAGCAACAAAATCAGCATTCTGAATAGTAGAGAGACGATGGGCAATAATTAGGACTGTCCTCCCTTCCATCAGCCGGTCCAGAGCTTCTTGCACTAGATACTCATTTTCAGCATCCAAAGCACTGGTAACAAATGGGGTAGGGAAGGGACAGAGGAGGATACTTGTTATATTATGACAGGTTGGTTTTGCATGCATTAGGGTTATTTTCCCAAAACTGCAAACCCTCTCTATTGCTGCAGAAGATGAACCACTGAAACTGCAGGAAATTCTTGTGAACATGCTTAGTGCTCACATCCAAGTTTTTGGCATTACATAGTCTCATATGCAAAAATAAGCATGAAGAACTAACACTAAATTAAGTCAGTGGAAAAAACCCACTTATGCTGCAGATTAATCATCTCACCAGGATCTAAATTTAAACTAAGGATACAAAAAGGCTTTAAGTAGATGTTTCAAAGTCATGTTACATATTACAAATTTAACTACATGAAAAATTACAACACAATGTACCAATTATCCTTTCAGCTTTGCATAAACAACTTTTATCACAGGTCTCCTAACCAAATCACACATTATAGAAGGCACTTTTTTTGTACGTGGAGAACAATAAGGGGCTAGATGATTTGTACAAGATCATGCAGAGAAAGAACGAGATAAAGCTCCCAAATTACATAGAATTTCTAAGTTTCAATTTCTGTCCTTCTTACCTTGTTGCTTCATCTAACAGAAGAATTTTAGGATTCTGAAAAATAAGGTAATATTGGTTTTAATAACAATTAAAACATGATCTGAATATTTACAGCAATAGAGAATAGGATTTGCATTGCTTAAAACTCCAAGTACGAGTACTTGCTTTATCAAAAGAACTGAGTGTCATTCAAAACATTACTTCTAAGAAATGTAAATGCTAAGASGACAAAACAGAAACAACACTCCTCCATTTTCAGATTTTCCAAACTAAAGTAGCAGAATGCTATTCCTAGATAACCATTTGAAAGATACAAACTAGTGCCTTGTCGGCACTGTGGCTGTTTCACAGAGGCTCAGCTACCCTCTGCTTGCTGTCAAATTGCTTTATAAAATCGTCTAATAACTAAAAGTAACAAAMCCCCATCAATAAGCAGTATTTCATCCACAGATAAAACATGTAGTACTTAAGAACTACTATTTAAGAACTTCTCATAATTAGATTATTAAAAAAAATTGCCAGCACTCAAACCCCTTAGAAGAATTCACTTCTGAATTACACTACATAACCCAAACTTCTTTGATAAAGTTGAGAGTAAAAGCTTTAAACTTTATCTGGGACAGAAGGGACTCCACTGTACTCTGACTACCTCAGTATATCAATTACTCATTTATTTTTTACAACCTTTTTTCTTCCACAAAATAAAGTCTCTAATCCCACAAACTGTATAAAATGCATGACTTTCAATACAATCAGCTTTTCAGCATCTGTGGTAAAAGAGAACTGGTATAATAAAATTCCTATTAATCTAGTAAAACTGGGCATGCMAGGATGCTAGAGACCTGTGTGGACTAAAATGAATGTAAACTGGGTTTGGCAAGGATCAAAACCTCCAGCTGAGCATCAGCACCAAACTGCCCCCCTGCAAGGCTCTGTGGCTGTCCTTGAACCAAACTCTGCCCTTCTGATCCTCAGAAGCCTCTTCAAATTTGTGCAGCACAAAGCCTGCCCTCAAGTTGATCCATACCAATCTTTGAAGAAAAACATGACAAATATCATGTCTGAAGTATCATCTTGCCTCAAATCTAGACCATGTCCCCTCAAAGGTAAGACAAGGCATCTGAAATACCAGTAAACTGCAACCCAGAAAAATTAATCCAAGAATGATAGAGATCTGGACACAGAAGTGTCATATTTGCGTTTACTAGCACCACATTCTTAAAGTCTTCCTTTATCCTTGACCTCATCTTATGCAAGTGAGCCATTATACAATGATTTGTATACAAATGGCAAGAACTACCAAAAAACATGGCTGAAAGATAGAAAGAAGCACTGACATTAAGTAAATAGTTATTAGTTAAGCCATTCAGCCCTTTCAAACTTCATTAACATAAAAGGTACAATTTTTCAAGATTTTTTTCCTACCTCTTCCATTGAAAACCTCCTCCTTTTAAATCCTTCCTGCCTCCCCCCAAGAAGTAGTTAAATAGTTGTTTGGCTGCTGGCTTACCTTGAGCAGAGCTCGAGCAATTGCAATTCGTTGCTTCTGTCCACCTGGGGGGAAAAACATCAGTAAACTGAAATAGGAAAACAGATGTCAGGTAATTTTAACTGAGTACCTGCGCTCAGCAGAATTAGGCCCATGTACTTTAGGGGAGAATGGAGGTGAAGGGTGGATACTTTTAATACTTATGGCAGGCTATGACTTAGAGCTAAAGGTGGTTACAAAAAATGATGGWATTTTTACACCACTCTATAGCATCAAAATTTTTAAAATAAGCAACATAAAGACATACCTGAAAGCAAAATGCCCTTTTCTCCAACTACAGTGTCAAACCCTTTTGGAAAATCTCTGATAAAACTGTTAGCATTAGCTATTTCAGCAACTTTCTGAATCTCCTCTGCTGTCACAGTAGAAGGATCCTCTGCACCATAGGCAATATTTTCAGCAATAGAACAGGAGAAGAGAATCGGTTCCTGACAAATACATAATTAATAGGGTAAATCTGTAATTATATGCATGTTTTCTATATTGCAAATAACAAAAATCCCACYTACAAGACCCCACTTACAATATCCATATGAAGAATATGCAAGCTAGAGTTAATTGAATTAAAAACTAATAAAAAACCTTCTCCCCTAACACCAAAATGGACAGTGATGAYCAATTAAAAATTAAGTTGCTTTTCTAACTGACAAAACATAACTCTCAATTCCTAGTATTTTAGAAAGCGTTTAGGAAGAGCTATAGATTCAAGCATCAAAAACCCTTCCTTTGTACTTTRCCACATACCATCATCTGGTATGTGGAGCACCTCTCCTGTGAGGGAAGGCTGAAAGAGATGGGGTTGTTCAGCCTGCAGAAGGCTCCAGAGAGACCTGATTGTGGTGTTTCTGGACTTAAAGAGGGACTATAAGAAAGATGGCAATAGACTTTTTAGCAGGGCCTGTTGTGACAGGACAAGGGATGATGGTTTTAAACTAAAGGAATGTCAGTTTAGATTAGATATAAGGAAGACTTTTTTACAATGCATGTCGTGAAACATTGAAAGAGGTTGCCTGGACATGTGGTAGATGCCCAACCTTGGAAACATTCAAAATCAGGCTCATTCAAGGATGGGTCTCTAAGCAACCACATCTAGTTGAAGATGKCCCTCCTCAATGCAGGGGGATTGGATTAGATGACATTTGAAGGTCCCTTCCAACCCAAACTATTCTATGATTTGCAACAATGATGGTTTTTTTTTCTTAATCTCTACATAGATTTTATGGCATTTAGTTTATTTAATTTATATTAAAGCTTGCAACAGAGAACTGTGAGATTGGACAAATGATGTACAATGGGAAAACGTCTGAAACCAGGTAAGTGAACTCTGTTTAAAAAATAGAGTGATGTTTCTTTAATACCAGTATGATCTCCTACTGGTAATTCAAATGAWTTTTTCAAAAAGAAAAGTGCTAATGTGCCAACAGGAAAATAATTTTTTGCACAAAAGCTTTTGGTAGCATTATTACATCAAGATGTTGTTTTTAAATACAATAAATATCCAGCTACCCTCATGCTTTTAACCAGAACATCAGCCTAACAGTTAATTGCACTACRAAGTATCTGTGGAGATGAGGGAATGAACATTTTAAATGATAAAATGGTTTGTTTTTAAGACAGCATTGATTTCCAGAGTTTSGAGGTTGCTAGGGAGGTGGCACTATAAGATTAAATGCCAACCGTGCTGTATTTTCATACTTTCCTAATGGAATTCTGTTTTCCTGGAAACTACTCAGAGCACAGAAGGTCAGTTTTTTTAATGTCTGTGTAAAATATGATTGTGTGACTTCCATCAATACAAAAGACAAGTGTTAAGSTTTCTGTTACTTTCTTCAACAAATTATAGCAAGCATTAGGTTGGTCATCCCTACACAAGTTACAGCAATGTACCTTCCAGTCTCCACATGCACACTTCTAAACTAACATTTTGAATCTCTGTGATTATGTAAAAACAGACTACAGAATACAGGAATTAGCTCTAAATACTTATTTTTAGAACAAAGCATGTGCAACAGCAGTTATGGTGAGATGAAAGGATTTCACTGAGAAGCAAGATTATGTCATTTTAAAAAGGAGGAAAGTGAGGAAAAACTAGTTGATCACAAAAATATTTCATTCATTTGGAATTCTTTCCTTCCTTACCTGACTTACTGTTCCAATCTTTGTCCTGAACCACAGTGGATTTAATTGACGGATATCAAAGCCATCAATGGTGATAGTACCTTAAGTCAAGAAACAGTAAAAACAAGCCTGTTTGACATGTACTGAAACAACAGTCCCTAAGGAGTCACACACTATRTTGGTGGATCAGAAATGCAAAGCTATGCAGGCACTACCACAAGCTAAGAGGGAAGCATAGACCTGCAGCACAGGAACCCCAACTGTTTATGAGATTTATCTGAGATGCAAAGCATTAATTGTCGCAAATGAGGGCAACACACAAACCATACCTGAGATGGGATCATACAGCCGCAGGAGAAGGGATACAATCGTTGATTTCCCTGTTCCACTTGGGCCAACTAGAGCCATAACAGAGCCAGCTGGAATGGAAAGGCTGAAATCTTTGAAAATTGATGTTTCTGGACGTGTTGGATATGCAAATTCAACGTCTTTGAATTCCAAAGCACCTCTGAATACATCTTTGCCTAATGTGATTCCCTCTACATAAAAAAAAAAAAGAATAAAGTACAGAAATGTGAACAGAAACAAAAATTAGCTCAGCCYTCCTTGAACTTGCTTTACAGACACTCAACAGAAATATCTATATCCACATTCAATCTATGGGTAGCTGCAAGCCACAATTCAGGACCACAGTGGTTCTATTTCAGCCATTTCAGCATGGTTCACCAATCATTCCTGMATGCAGTTTCAGGTTGCTCACCAGCACTGAATCTGTTGACTACCTGCAGCAAGAGGGAGAATTTGGTTCTTGCTAATACCTAATCACGAACAACAATCACTTCTCATAGAATTATCTGAATTAGTAAACATACTATAAACAATTTAAGCTTTGTTAATTGGGAGCAATGAAATAAAAAGGCATTGGTAAAGGCCAAAGTCCTGTTATCATAGAACACAAAAAGATAAACTTTGCAAATCATTTACTGAGCCACAAAAGTCATCTGAAACACCCTCCTCTTTGAACAAGAATGATTCCTGTCACTGGAATAAAGCTACTGCTAGGTTTGTTGCACTAAACAGCCTTTTTTTAGTTTTATTTTTTCCTTTCAGTAGAAARGATATTTAATAAATTCAAATACCAAGCAGAGGCCTAACTCTTTGGCAACATTTTACTGAAATGAAAATTTCAGTTTGTGAAATTTTCCATGAATGAAACCACCATGAATGAACAAATACCAAAGTTAAATAAAACCAGTTTTTTTCTGGAACACGGCATTTGATTTAAATAATTATCTTAATATCATTACTAGAAAAAGCTGATAAATACTTAAGACAAAAAAAAGAAAATTTCTTCAAGCCTTATTAAAACCCAGTCACACATATCCATACAAAGCAAAACTAATTGGACAGTGGGGCTGCATTCCCAAAGGGCAAAGTTCCCATCAGTTTTGTGAAAACTGACCGTACTAGAGCAATAACCGAGTCATGTTTGTTCGTGCTAGAGAAACACAACTCAAACCCTTAATTCTTTTCAGATGCGGCACACAAGTGACTCCCAACCAGCCACAGCACATGGTAGCACATGCCAGTGTTTGGTTAAACAGTAACTGTGGATAGGAAACAAAGACATCCATCAATAGCAATCAAGMTTTCACTAGTTCTGCTTTAGTTTTTTCCAGGTTTCCATTTCTTCTCCAAGCTTTTAGTTTAATGGTAGTAGCATTGAAATGGAAAAGGCAAGAGYGTACAATTCTAGATTCCTTGCTTGACTGTAGTCTATGGACATACCCACTGTAACTTTATTGTTTCCACAATGGCCTGTAAACCTCCTTTTGGGAAAAGAAATGTATTCGCTAAATCCCGTGCTAGCAGCACAATCCTTATTATTACCACAGGTGCAAGTAATCACTGAAGTCTCAGTTCCAGTTATTGCAMAGTCTATTCCATGGCCCAAAACACTAAAACGTACTGCAACACAGGAAGTGTGCTACCACAAGTCCTTCCTCTAAATATTACTGTAAAATATGTCCAAAAAAAATGTGAACAGAAACAGAAATTAGCTACATAGCTGTGTCTTGTTTGGATTCTAGACACAAGAAAAATTACTTGTTCCTGAGATATTTGTTGTCACCAGCAGCAACCAGACTTCTGCAAAATTAAAACCTTTCCCTCCCTAAATAAGGGAGAAATGTGGGTARTATTATTGTGAGGAGAAAGGTGCAAATCACTCCAAAAGCAGCACCTGCTGTACTTGTACATCCCCCCTATCCCAAGAAGCAGAAGTCCCTTTATCAGTTCTACCCTTTATTTCTTTTTATTCCCCAGTCACACTCAGTCTCTGATTCCTATAGCAGAGCAACTCAAAAATTCAGTTTGKTGAGTGTTGCTGAAAGGCCTCAAACTGCATGTTTGCAAGTTAGGTTTCAAAGCAACATGGCTTACTAAGGACTGGTTTTCATTGGATCAGTATGAAATGTTTAAGCTTGAAATACTCTTAATGAAAACCACCTGTTTTGAGAGCTTCTCTTTTCAGACTGGTTATTTCTCAGCCATTAGAGATGAGCATGGTAAGCCTTTCAGTGGAAATATGAGATATGGCCATCTAGAGCTCCTCCCTCCTCTCCTTTTTCTTCTTTTCACTCTTTTCACTCTAAAGYTGAATCAAGAGGAAGTGGTGATGACATAAAAAAAATTCCAAAAAGCTAGAAATGAGTATGTCCTCAGTCACATAACTTTGAAAGTAATACGATTTAAAATCATATTCTGAATTAAATAAATGAAAAATAATTAAACCAAAGGTAACTAATTAAGCCAAACTTTTGGCTTCTAAGATCTTTTATTAAAGAAAATTTTCATCATCTGTTTCGTACTTAGGTAAAGTCAGAAGGATTATGACAGTATCTAGTTTCTTTGAAAAGAATGTAAGTCAGTACTACTTTTAAGTATTATACACACCCTTCTAAAGTATTGCTGACCCATAAAAGAAAATCAACCTTTAAACAGTAACAAACCAAGAACCCACCATTAAATGGAAGTTGGGGCTTCYTTTCAATAAGTTCCCAAAGACGTCCACCAGCACCTAGTCCTTTCATTAGCTCAGAATAAAAGGAACTTAGACCTAAACAAGAAGGAGAACAGTATTATGCATCCATACGGAATGGAAGACATAGAGAGATAAAATTAGCCTTACACTTTTCAGTAGCAGCATTGAAGAATCAAATGGATAGGGGATCTTTTATTTCAACAAAATGCTAAATGTGTTCAGTTAAATCCTATCTAGTCTCATTTGAGAGATACAAACAACCCTTTTTCACCATTCTTATTTATACCTGTAAAACAAATCTGAAGAAAAGAAAATATTAATACACTTCAGCTTGTGTATGCCCTTTTTCATTCACCTGTCAYGAAGAACAGCATCCAACTTTTGGAAAATAGCTTTGCATCCAACCAGCTGTATTTCCAGATCATTCAGTAGAACAGAGCATTCTAAATGCTCTTCTTTGTCAAATAGGTTGACACTAGTAATGGGAGCCTGACTGAATCAGCCAGAGCAGAGAGAGAGCACGAAACCTAAGGCTGAAATGGTGCTTGAGAAGGTGTGTGGAGAATGCATTATGGAAAGAAATGTGTCTCCCATGCCAGTATGCTTCAAACATTACTGGAGAAAGCAAAAGCTAAGAACAAGGCCTGCACATAATATTGGGTCCCAGCTCCTTAGCAGCTGTGTGAATCATCTTGAAGGTAGCTTGGCTAAAGAGCTTCTCAGCTGACATAAACACAGAAGCCAACATAGAACTAAAACTGGAGTAGCACATACAGATAAATTGCCCAATTTCCTAATTCTTTGCATGCCTTTCAAAAGAAAGACAATGATTTCATGACCTTTGAATCCAAACATGTCTCTGTTTGAGACAATGTTTTCAGAGAAAAATGTTAYAGAGTAAATGTTTCCTCTGAAGTGAAAAATTTGATAATTTTTTCCCATCAGTATGAAGAAGATGTTTGGGCAAAAGTGAATAGAAAAATASTTCATTAACAAAACAAGGTGCCCACATGACACAGATTAAGGAAACTGAGTAACTGTTGGATATTTAAGACTCAGGAACACATGCCGCCCCCCCCCTCCCCCCACAGCTGCTCAGCAGGTGGTATGGAGAAAAGATGGCGACTCCTGTCCTGGGGGAAAAAGAAACAAAAGGAAAAGTCCACGTGGCTGCTCAGGCAACAGTGGAAAAACCTGGAGCAGTCCTCTCCTCACGATGGATGAAACAGAGGGCTCGGTGTGCTTTTCTGTCACCGGCTTGGCTTCTTCTGGAGTCCAGGATGAGACGGAGCGGTGCCACTTGTCCCCGCTGGCCGCCAAATTGCTCCAGAAGAAAAATCACAGGAGCCACAGAGGGGGTGGCAGTCCTCAGAAAACTGTTTGCCCAAGCTAACAAACCCAAGCTAGCTAAACTGCAACAACATAACTCCCCTGCAGGCAGCGAGCAGGACTCCCACAGCACTGAGCTGAGGTCCAAAAGCAAATGACTGCACAGCAGCCCYGGCTTTTAAACTGCCCGCACCACCCCTGTCCCTTCTTCCGGGTCAGATTTGAAGGCACAGACATCTTTTGTGCATACAAGCTGGCGTAATATAGGAATACAGGATTGGCACAACATCAACCAAAAACAGAATAAACATACTTATACAGTAAAATGCTTACAGTGTTACGAGTTATTTCAGGAGGGCAGAAAAACCAAGGTATACATAAAAATATGTATATAAAAAATATATKAAAAAACACATATATATAAAATTGGTTTAGTAGTTTATTTTTTCAGAACAACAAGCCCAACTCACGGTCACGAGTCTGTAAGTATAGGCAGGGCATTTCATCATGCTACTGCTAAGGACTATCTGAAAGCTTGCAGTGCTAGCCATGGTGAGAAGATGTCTGATTGGAAAAAAGAGCCAAAGCATCTGCATCCTAGAGCAGGGCATGGTAGGGGGAAGGCATAAAGCCTCACAGAGCAACTTCAAACTCAAACACTGATGTTTGCAAATTCAACACCACTCATTAAAAAAGCATTAAATAATATGGACAGCAAACACAAATTAGAAAATGTTTTTCATTTTCATAACCTGCGCTCTGTGTTCGGAAGAAAACACAGCAAACTTACAACATAAGGGGGCAAAGTCACAGATTATGCAGTGAATTTCACAGTTTATTGCATCAACTCCTGTATGTATTGATRACATATATGGAACAGACTTGGCAATTGGAAGATTTACATGCCTTGCAGGCATCTAGGAAGGTAGGCCTCTTGTGCAAGACACCTCTGTTTCAGAGTCTCCCTGCGAATGAGCTSTGTGCAAGGCTACATTTTACAATAATCTGAAGTAGAATTTAAAAATACGTTTTACAGCAATTAAAACTGAATTCAGTAGTATTTTTAGCAGTGCTTCTCATCTTCATTTATTTAACATTAACTTGTCCCATGTTTTCAAAGTGCCAGGTTTCTCTCCATTGACCAAACTTCAATGATTTAAGCAGAGAACAAAGGGGGCTGGTAGTTGGAATGGGTACCACTGGAATTCTGATATACAAAGAAGCAGGTTTGTTAAATTTTGCCCTCAGGCATATCTTTGTGGTCCCCATGCTATCAGGTCTAGTCTTAAAAAAGAAAAATACAGGCAAGTGCATCTGATATACTCCCAGTATATCAGAAGTAACAGACACATTTTAAAGAATGCTTCCAATAATTTGCCAAACTTTTGTGTACCTTATCTTCATTTTTCCCTGYGTGCAGTTGTGAAGACAGCTCTGTCAAAAAGATGAACAGCTTGTTTCTGGACCAGCAGATTACAGAGTGTGAGCTTCAAGGAGTCAGTCAGTAAGGAAAACCACAAGGTTAGCATCAGAATGCAGTATTCTGCTGGCACTTTGTTTACTGTTTGAGTTCAGGACACTCCACATTGAATAACTGCCTTTCTAAATAGAATATGCCTGACACAGACTCACATATTTTATTTATTTACATGATATGGCAAGTATAATTCAGACTTAAAGAAAATAAAAGTAATATGTACTTTCACATGCACACACTGAAAAAAAATCCTTTTCTTTTGGGGAAAAGGAAGGCTCATATTAAGTTATAGATTTTTATTTTTAGTAACTTTTAAATAAAAGTAAGTTATGAGTTCTTGGGAACTTCCCTTAGAAGAGACTTTTTATGAAAGCCAGATCTTTTAAGAGCTTTTTCCCTCCTATCCCTATAAGGACCATAATGCTTTATGTGAAGTGAAGAAAAATTGATTTCCCATTCCATACCTCCGATGCTTATTCCAACCCAGAAAGCATACATTAGGAAAGACGAGAGTTCACCAACTGTCATGTAGGCACTGCCCATTAGTAATCCTCCTTTGTATAACACTGAGAGAACAATTAAGTTTCCAGAGAGGCCTGTCTAAGGAAAAAGAGAAAAAGGCAGATTTTGTCACATACATCTTACATTTCATCCTCTAAAATATTCTTTCAGAATTTTCCTTTTAATAAAAAGAGCTCTCATCCTGTAGGTATCTAGGTTTTTGGAGGACTGAATTAAATTCAACAATTCTAAAGTAAAGCCAGACAACAGGCAGCCASACACCCAGTGGCATTGTGCTATCCAATAAGTGTTCAAAAACCAAGCAATTCCTTTTAGGCTTTTTTTCCTCAATGTGGAAAAGAACATTAACCATTATTCTCAACCATCATTACCAAGGAGGAATTAACGGTCTGCAGTTATATTCCAGTTTTAAAATTCAATTAAACAGTTATGGAAAAACGCAGTCCAAGCCTCCCTCCCCACTTCCCTATGCATTGATGCTTCTCTCATTGGGGAGCCAAACCTCTGAAATGCCAAGGGTAGGGGAAGGTTTCCACTGGTTTAATTCCTTCAACAGAAGGTGTGGCCTCGGATAAGTAGTCCCCACTATGGGGTGTGGGGCAGAAATAGAGGCTTTAAGTGACTTTATCACACCATTTTATCTCAATATGCCGTTTCACAGCAATTTAGGCTGATTTAAGCCCAGTCTTCTCACAGTTTTATGTACGTTCAATTTATTCTCACTCATTTACTTGCAGATTTCTAAATATCATTATGAGTTTTAAAATAATTGACACTTTGCATAACACGGTTGGCGTACTTTCATTAAAATATACTTACTGCTCCGAAGAAGCCTGCCCGAACTAGTGCCTCTTTTTTAGCCAGCTGTAGCACATAATCAACTTTATTTGTGTATTTTTCCATTTCAGCCACTTCTTGTCCAAAAGCTCGAACTGTTCTGATGTTTCCAATGCGCTCTTCAGCTAACTGCATTGAAGCATGGCACAAAACAGATCCACAGAGACACACAATTTGAAATGCTCACATTACAGAACATGTGAAAGTTAAACCAGTATCACGTCACTAATTTACATATCTGTGGATAACACAGAAAAATTTCTCATGCCTTTCTCACCCTATCCAACCCCTCTCTTTTTAAAATTAAAAGCAAATTGCATGCCCAGGAAGTTTTTAAAAAACCTTGATTGTCTTAAGTGTTAGCAGAGACAGAAAAATAAAAGTAGGGTCAAAAATTTTGGTGTCARCAACACCCATAGGGAAATTACTATTCACAATAATTTGCAATAACAATATGGGAAGCGAAAAATAAAGAATATACTGTTCCATACTAAATAACGAAAAAAAGCGTGCAGTTATTTCCTGTAACAATTCCACTCCTTTGATCAAAGCAATGCTGGGAATTAATTTAGCCCAACTACTAATGTCTCATTTCAACTAAGTACTTTTACTTCTAAACAGCAAAGTATTAATTCTAAAATACTTCAATTGCAACCACTGTCCACTAATAATGGACAATGTGATCATTTTAGAAAAAACAAGGTCCTCTTTTTCAAGTAGAAGTATGACATAAAAATATAATTCTTCTCCATCCACCATTCAGCCTCAAAATTTGAATGGAACACAAAAATTGCTTGTTCATAYGAGTCCCACACCTGGTTTACAAAGGTTTCAGCTTCCTGCCAACACAGTCTGAGGAAGATACACAGAAGAGAGCTAATCCTCCTTTTGCACGGTCCTACAAAGGACATCCCAAGTTTGCAACAGCTGACAACTGTGACTATTTTAACCAGAGCTTTCCTAATGTTTTTCTATGTTTTATAATGTTTCCCCACCCTAAGCCTTTGAGGAAGTGTTTAAGAAACAGGCCCCATAAACATTTAATAGCTGACAGTAAGGCCAAACATCAGGGATGAATTCCAAGAAGGATTTGCTAGCAAAAGAACCATCCATGTAGGATGCTTCTTACAGCTTCAAGGTCAAAACCGTAATCCAAGAAGTGTTTTTCAAACCAAATTACACAGTACTCCATAGGCTGATTTTTTTCATGCCCTCACAAAACTAAAGCCTAACCTCCTTATCATTTCCTACACTTCCAAATTCTCAAGCCCTTGTATCTCTGCATTATACTGTTATGGACAATGGAAGCATGGTTGTTTTTGAGATCTATGAATAAATGCTACTGACATCTACCTTTCACACTACTCAGGTGCAAAACCACAGGGTCAGAATGAACAGTACAATTGTCTTCAGAAGATCTGTAACTTCAGATATATTAACATAAATATACTAGAGCAACTTTAAAGTTAACAAGACAGGTTACCTGTGTTGCTTCTGCAAGAGAATCTTGAGTCATTTTAGTAAGCYTTCGCAAGTATCTGCCATAAATCACAGCCAGGACAGCTAAGGGTGGCACAATGCTCAGAACAAATGCAGCAAGGCTAGGGGACACAAAAAACTAGAAGAAAAAGGTTTTGTCAGAATTTAGCATTCAGATTAAAAATCATCCCTGGAGTACTAAAGTGCAACTTCCCTTGCTACTTTTCAAAAACAAGTAGCAATTTGATTTAGTGCTGCCATGCTTTCATTTATCAATTTTTTTTCCAGGCAAAATATCCATTCTTCCACAGCATTTGGGAAGTATCCCATGGTTAGAACAAAGGACTATAAACAAAGCTGTCTGGATTTAATTTCTAGCTTTCTCACTGGTTCACTGTGTGGTCTTAGTCAAGCATCTTAACCTGCCAGTAAACAGGCCTAGCAGGAAATCTCTTGGGGATGGTGAAAGACATAAGCTATTATACAGTTCCTAAAGTGCTTTCATAACCATTAAATAGATGGTGTAACACAGAAACTCTGAGCAGAGAAATATCAKACACTACTTTTGGGTAACTGAGGAACAGATGGAGCCAACAGTACTCTATAGCACCCCAAATGGGTGGAAGAGTATATTTAATTTACTGCTGCAAATCTTATCACTTATAATGATCATCATTAAAGCATCTAGGGGTACTCTTCATAAGATTTATTGAAATTAGATCTAATGAGTTTTAATTTCAACTTGCTTTCTATACTGAAAACAAAAATCTCCAGAAAAATCCAAAATAACATAATTGACAGGCTTTGTAATTATTTCACGCTAATATCTTCTTTCTGGGCAAGCATTTATAGTCCACCTCTTACCATTGTCTCATGGCAATATTTTGGAGCAGAATGCATTAAGTAAAGTTATCTCATTTAATCTATGGTAAGAAAAAAACTTAGACTCTCTTTGTAAGAGAGTACAAAAAGCCATGATTCTTATCACTGACAAACTATTAAAACTTTAAAGATTCACTGTGGAAATTATTAACATTTTCTAATAATGTCAATATTGGAAGCTTTTTTGTATGAGGAGCTCTTGTGCTCCTTATGTTTTCAACTCCAGGCAGACAGCAGAAATTACTACACCTTCATTTAAGATAATTGAAACCAATGCATCTTTTCTCAGATTAGCATAAAAATATTAATGCCAAAAAAAAAAGACATCAGATTTTCATGTAAACCAACTGACCACCAAGGAATATTAACTGATGCACTGCATTGAAGCCTTCATTAACAAGATTCCTAAATAAATATATTCCTTACTGACAGACTAAAGCAGAAAGACTAATGCTTGTAAAAATCCTCTGCACTAATTAGATATGCAGTGCTGCCTTTGCTTACCTAGGCTTTAAGCAGAATCAACCAACTTTAACGATTTTTATTTCAGGCCCTTCATTCTGTATTTTACCTACAACCATGGAATGCTATCACTGATTTTAGTATCTTCAGTAAGAATGAAATTCAGCTATTTGCCTACTGCATTTTGCTTGGTAACTTTCGGTAGAAACAGCAGTTAATTTCAACCCTTCATCCTCCAGATTTCRCTAGTGAGTAAACATGAAGTGGCTACAGGCACATCACCTATTGCAATGATCTCTGCATCAACCAATGAAATACACTTGTACCCAAGAGCACACAATTGCTCCTGGACTGATTCACCCTCGCCTAATAGAACTGAAACAAATGGGAAACTACAAGAAGTGTCAAGCAAGTAAGAGACCAYCATACCATCATTCCAACCCCCACAGATGCTTGTGTTCCTGCTCTGAGYCCATCTGAAAGGTTTTCGGTCACTGAGCGGCCCAAGAGGGCTGTATCTGAAGATAAGCGGTTTATCAACTCTCCTGTTCTGGTCTTGTCAAAGAAAGCCATTTCTTGCTTCAGAATAGAGGAGAACATTGTTGCTCKCAAACGTTTCACAATTCTTTGTCCTGTCAGAAACAGAAGCTGGTCAACTACGGCACACAAGGCTTTACATAGATAGCAACAATATAAAATAACACAGGATTGCACAGCATTGAACAAGACACATCAGAGGATTTTAATATACCAGAAGGGAGTCACCAGAAGAGAGTCTGGTAAGATCTGTTAGATGAAATCTTTAGGATCTCACCAAACAGTAAATAAAAATTAACCATCGTTCYAGCATACTTATCTTTGCGCAGTTAGTTTCCCTTTGTTCTGGTAAAAGACACTACTGATTCCAAGAAGATCTCTTGGCCACTGCCAAGAATTTAYTTAAGATCATTAGATATCCTGACTGCAAAAACCCTAAGTGACTCTCGGTACCATGTTTTGCTTTTGTTTTTACCTGCAGTCTGCATGAGGTAGACACGAGTAGCATTAGCAGCACCACCACATAAAAAGATTCCACTCAGCAAGGCACACAGGTTGGTCAGGCTGTCAGTGAAATCCTCACTGGGATTTGTATAAATAATGTCAATAACTTTCCCCATAAAGAAAGGGGCTGACATAGTAATGACACTGGAAACTGCCAGAAAGCCAACAGCAGCTGAAAATCAASAAGAAAAGGAGAGTTATTTGAACTTACAAAATCATTAAAAGCACAAATCAAATGATTTTTCACTTGAAATTTCTATTAAACTTGCAAGTGCCAATTGAAATAATCAGCACTCTTTCACACCAGTTCTGAAAGGGGTATTTTAAGCCACTGTATAMATTAATTTAGGCAAGGCACATTTTTAAGACCCTGAAAGTTTCTGTATGCAATCACAGCCCTGGAATTGCTTCTCTTGTCTAATCTTCAACAGCACCATCCAATAAGGTTAACTTTTCATAGACATCACCCGTAGGGAGCATTGACAGYTACCAAAATCTGACACACAATCAATCCTTCAACTCCCGTTTATTTTGGGTTTCATTATTCACGCTTGTTATTATATAAAAGCTTCYATTTGTCTCTTTTTGAGATAACAATGGACTGAAATAAAGATCTGACCTGAGAACTAGCTAAACCATATGATTTTATTGGGAGAAAAAATAAAGAAGAACAAAAAAATTTTATTTCCTCTTGACTGATAAAATTTATAAACATTCATTTTGTTTTACTCTTTACTATTGTTGGTCTGAAATAAAATAGCATACGTTTTAATTAGAACTACATCTGCTGATGAGCAGCGCTCTTGAATYCCAGTTGCAGGATCACCCATGKAACAACCTGTGTTGCWMTTTGAAGATGTATYACAAAGGATGAAAATCACACTGGGCCAAGATTAGCCTTYTGAACTTAAATCTGCAARGAAACTTCTTGAGCCAAGAATACAGCTTAATTTGAAAAAGGCAAGCCAAGCTTGAAAGTCTGAGAGCTAGAAAAAAACCACATCTTAATTGAAAACTGAACAAACTTGATATGAAAACCACTGAACCACAACAAACAATGACATTTATACAGCATAATTTTCCAAGAACCAACCACACACTTAGAGAACCRTTCATAAGATTGCTACAAAACTACTAGCAGATAATGCCTTTGAAGACAAAAATATATTGTGCTAAAAGTCCTGAAGTTGCCTGAATTTCAGTTCCATTCTACTGAGCTTCTCGTATCAATCCTATGATGAAGACAGGAGTCAGCCCCCCAGCAGAACACTGCTGTAAGCAGTATTTCTATGCATRTYTGYAGCCTGTGTTTCTTATTCAAGATCKGTTGGCAATCTTTCCCAGCCAGGCCAGCAAGCATGTGAACAATACAGGATTTKGATTTTTAACTTGCAGCTATAGAAACAATAAGAAACCAGACCAGAAAAACTTTCTGTTGCAAACTTATGTGATTTATGCCATTCATAAGGATACTATTTACTAGCTAAAAATTCATGAATGACTTTACTGTCGGGCTGGCAGCACTGGTGTATTCAAGCYGTGAAGCAGCAGGGAAAAATCCAACAAAACCCAGGTCATTTCCTTTCAGGAAAAAGCTGGTTGGTCTCCAAGGCAGCTGGAGATGGACAAAAGCACTGATTATAAGCACAGTACTGTATGRCAGCTCAGTCTCCATTARTTCCAACTATTTCTCAGTTACAGATGGAACAGGATGTATGAACAGCAGACATAAATATTCACAGAAGGAARAGGACTGTATGGCTAAACCCCCATATGTTTCTGTCTAGTGGCTTGGATTTATCTTCAGCTCTTCATTCAAACTAGCACTAGGTTTCACTGCAATTACTTCCAACAGCCTTAACTGAATGAAGAGCAAATACTAGTACCTAAAGCAAACYGAAAACTACCAAACTAAGCAACATACCTGTCTTAATTAACTTAATCACAAATCACATGCAAAAGAAGGTTCCCAAACTGAAACTCCCATGTTAATCATACCAGCAGACCAATTAGAAAATAGCACAGTTACCAAGTGTCTGCTCTTTTTTTGTTTGTTTTAAAATGTTRACCAGTTGAAAAAATAGGAACCGGCAAGCACTTGTTCCATCTCCTCCTTCAAAGGATCTGTCATGGTGATAACTGGCTGAAGGGAGGAGTTCGATGTGCTCAGCAACCAGATATGAACACTTCAGTGACACTGAAGGGTGTTGCTGATAGAGAAAACAGGTCAGAGTAAACTCTATAGCATTAGTTTCACATGGCTTACTCTGTTACCCAGAAAATTACATCAAACAAAATGGTGTATTATGGAAGCTTTATTTTTTTAAATAATTTTTTGGTAAGCTCTGAGATGACAATACAGCAAATGTGAGGCAGATCAGCAGAACTTACAAAACTAGGACTTCAAAGCAGCAACAGAAGCAATGACAAGACGAGCTGGCTGCAGCAGCAGCTGAGCAACCCCTTAGAAATATTAGGTGAACATTTTGCTTGTTCATTTGCACAGAAATCCAGATTGCTGCACAAAGTGRTGCCTTTATCACTGTTAAGATCAACACACTCTGTGTTGATCTTAAGGCTAAGGGCTTGCTTCTTGACAGCAAACCTGCAACTTCTTTCGAGGACAAGGAATTGTTTGCCAACTGATAAACCAGGATGTTTGCAAGCAATAACTAGGCAGAGCTATCAGAAACCTCTCTTCAGAATGTAAATTAAGTGACTCCAAGATTCATGAATTCATTTTCTACAYACAAAAGCACCACCAAGACAGTGAATGTTTCTAATTTTGCTGGTTCTTGCCTGAGCAMCCTTCTCACCCAGTATAGTATGTGGAAGTGTATAAAGACAAAAAATTACATGCAAGCCTGTTTGGAGAGGGGCTGWTTTAAAGACAAATACATAAGGATTTTACCTCAGATGAACTAAGATCATTGAAGCCAATCAGGGATGAAAGATAGAAAAATGAGGTTTTGATGATATCTGGCAGTGCACAATAACCCAGCAACAGGTCACAGTAGCTAGTTTTTACTATTCCATAAGCTATGGATATTACCTCCTGAAATCTTTTAAKTATTGTCCTGGTTTCATTTAAAGATGGGGGTCTGATTGATCAGAAGCAAGTTTTGGATTTGTAAGAAATATCCTTCTACCAAGTAATGTCCTAGAAATATCCTTCTACTTATCTAGTAATGATGAATGTCTGTCCTTTACCAGTTATCTGTGTAGTTTTATTTAATACCCAGGGATTTTTGTAGTTTAACACTGACTGGCTTTCAACAAGGGCATTTGGAGTGATGAATAACACCCACCAYGTTATCATGTGCATTCAGAGAGATCAGGCTCTTCAGTATGGGAGAAAGATGCRCTGGTAAATTTTGTATTTGTTGGTCAAGTAAAGGYCATTTCATTTTGGTGGACCCTGGTTCACCATATTTTTGGGTATCAACCCTGCAAAGAGTCAGCTCTGCAAATACTTACTACAAGATAAAAATCCTCCGGAGTACACTGTAAGCACTTGAGGATGTTCTGTATAGTTTTAGGTTAGGTATGAGTGGTGTGGTTTTCCTTCTGTGTTAAATTCATACATGACACCTACATTGTATGTATTGTGCAAAAACCTTTTAGAACCACCCTCCTTACACTGTGTTACTGTGCTCAGGAAAAAACCTACAATTCACAAAATGCTAGAAGGCAACAGAACAGGTTTACAGGAGAGATTACGGTTTCTTTTTTTATCATGCTTTTAAGAGTAAAGCATTTAACTTGTTCATATTTACCTTATATAGAAGCCAGTCTATGTCAGACCAACCTAGTTATTACTCTTTCTATCTTCACAATCCACACAAATAATGCAGCAACAACATTCYCCAAGGAAATAAGCTCTAAGCCCCKAACYGATCACAGTGATAAGCAGCTACTGTTTCTGCAATGTCTYACTCAAGTACCCTTGTTAACAGTTCACCACCAGTTTTAAAACAAGCAACTGTCACCAATTAGCCACAGAAAAAAAATTCTGTGATAAAGCTACAGGGCTGCTCAGACCTTTTGTGAGTTTCATACCAAACACTGACAAAATGGAAAGAAAAACTAGGGGGAGAAACAACAAAAACCAGTTAGCCTATATTTYATTGGCACATTGCACATGGGAAAACACTCCTACATAACATGTAAGTCACGCCTACATAGGTATACATAGGAATTACGATTTTAAAACCACAAGAATYGCCCTTTAAAAAAATTCAAAGTTCATCGCCTGGTGTAATTTTAAAGTACAACAAAATCTGATTATGAATAAGGCTCTAAATTGAAAATTTTGACTTCAGTGAAAATTTTAATTCATAGGAAAATAGCTGTTACAAATTTGCAAAAAATTATCGAATAAAACTTATGAAACAACGTTTCTTGAATGCCTCTAAAGAAGSCAAAACCAAAYCTTCCTACTCAGCACAGAGGTTTTMTACAGGGAAAGGCCACACTTTGCTATAGGATTAAAAATTTCAGAGTTCCTTGTGCTCTTTTACTATTCAATAGAACTATTGTTTCCTTGGAGTGTGGTTTGGATAAAGTGCAACAGACAGATTCTCACGGGGAGAAACAAGGAAGTAGGAGGAAATAAAAAGGATCGTTTTGAAAAGGCATTTTTSTGGTCTCACACACACAGAGCAGGATTTAATGGTTTAAACAATGGCCCTGTCCTCTTCCCCAGGAACTGAATTTAACTGAAGATGCAGGTTTACCTTACCTGACCACACCAAATCAGCCAAAAAATTTCTACAATTACTTCTCTCCTTTGTTAAACCTGGGAGGTATTGAAGCATTTAAAAACTCCTGTGGTCACAAAACTGTGGTCACTAACAGAGTGAATTCCCACCATAGTATTTAGGCTTCTTTTTATCACTTTAATTGCAAACCACAAAATTTAACACACATGTCCCATTTAAAATACATTCATAGCTCTACCCCACTCTAAAAGTAACTGGTCATGAAATATATTACACTGACACTTCTTTTTTTTGTGACAGTATGACATTTGATAGATTTATTTTCATTCCCAGGAGTCTCCAGAGGGTCAGAAGCTCCTTCTCTCTTTCTGCAACATGTGCTGCTTGCCAGCACACTGGAACTSCGGGCCAGGGCACACCTCTTCTTCCTGAGCCCTTGAATGGTGATGAGGTCCTGCCCAGAGCAAGATGGGACCTTCTCCTCTGGTGCCAATCACAATGGGAGCAGGTCACCTTCACCTCTGTACTTGTGCCTCACCAGCTGACACCGAGTGCACCAAGATGGGTGAAGTTCRTCTTGCCCAACTTCCTCATAAATCATCCTCTCCTCCCWCTGTCTTCCACTGTCCTCACTGCAACCACTTCACATTCTGTGACTGTGAATTTCAACTCACAACAGCAGGGAGCAATCACGACCCTTGCCAAGTGGAATTACAGAAAAGGTACATAAGCACTCCACAGTGGTACACCCCTATGTTACCAGCCACTGGTTCTATAAAATAGAAAAAATCCAGAAGACCTCAACCTTCCTGCAAACTAAATAGCACCTGTAGACCTCTGAAGAGATCTCACAGCTTTTGTTTACTGGTTATGTGAACTTGAAGAGGAAATTAAATGTTTTTTCCCTTGGTTCATTGTTTCATATAGTGAAACCATTAACCTTCTGCTTTTTTTGAATGCAGGAAAACCAGACATACCAGGTTTTTAAGGACTAGTTTCTCAGTACAAAGCTGCAACAGGAATAAAATGCAACACATTTTACACATTTTAGATACAACGGGCAGATGCAGTTTCCCTACAACCACCTACAATGCATTTTACCTATATTTGTTATCCCTGCACTATATAATGACGAAATGCATTTTCCTTGTTAGCTTTTCCATCATCCCACCTAATTACAACAATTTTTTTCCCTTAAGTCAGGTGTCAGTAAAGAATTTTCATAAATTCACTCCCCTCCCAGAATGAAGGCCAACTGAACACTGAGAAGGAGTTACTACATTTACRTATTTTTTCCATCCTCATGACTTGATATCAACAAGTTGTTGTGTTAGGGTTTGTAAAAAACTTTAATTCAGGTCATTTTGTTATCTCAAAAGAAAAACTGCATGCAGCTGATTTTTAGTAACTGTGATAGCTGATTTACTTATCTAAAACCATCAGCAGACTGCACAGATTAAGGATAATTTGCTCTATTTCAAAACATAATTACAAACAAACATACGATGCCCTCACTGTGATAAACACGCTGACAGCGAGTGCCCAGTAAAGTGAACCAAATTAAATTTTCAGTTATTTAGAAGGCTTGGATCTTAAAAGCCATCCTTAAAAGAACTGATGTATCTATCTCATTACATATAATGGGAAAACCACAGACTTCAAAAACCTCATTGTAAAATCAGCAGGTAGTCTAAAATTTATAAACATTCATTTGGATCCAAATTATGCTGGCTGGACAATACCAACATGTAATGAAACTCTGTAAGTATACAGATGAATAAAATCTTGTGCAAAGTGTTTTGTATTTCACAAACCACCTCTTTACATGTCTAACTATCTCATCTCATCTCTCTTCTCTCAAACACCATTCAYCCATTCCATGAGAAATACCTATATTTTCTCAAAGCACTACAGGCCTCACACATGATAACACACATGCTATCTGCCAATAAAGATACCTTAAAAACCCAAAACACATAATAATTTGATAAGGTTTTCTTCCCAACAACTATTATCCTATAAACCCATGGGAAGCAATATCAAGAAAAGTTCATTTATACTCCGTTGAAAATATCCATGTTAAGGGTGTAATTTATACARCCACAATGTTTTGACTTCACCGTATAGACACTAGAAAAGAAAAAAATTTCAAAACACCTTACAAATGTTTTAAGAAAAAAAAAAATATTGGGAGAGAGAATTCCAATCTATTAAAAAAAAAAGCTTCATATTCGCTTTTTTACTTCATTCATAGAGTCTTGGGCCCAAATTTATTGCAGGTGGATTGCGAAGCCAGCACTGAACATACACAGAGGCATTAAAAAAATGGAACCGAGTTCTCTAACTCCCAAAACTTCTGTCTTCCCTTCAAAAACCAACAGATAAAGAGACGGCAAAGGGAGAAGAGGGGGTAGAATGCATGTTTTTAGCTTTTCCCACTTATTGGAAGGATCGCTCAGAGATTCCACGCTGTGCTGGGATGCTGCCAGCTGGACCGGTTCGCCAGGGAAACACGACCTTCGTTCCGGCGGCRACAGCCGCTCCTCGGATGCACCCCGGCCGCACACCCCGGCCCCGGCAGCCCCTCCGGGCGGGGCGCCCGCCGCCCCCTCCCGCTCGGGCAAAGCCCCGGGGCGGCCCCGGTACCTGTCAGTCTCCAGCGCTCGGGGTGCGCCAGGGCCAGCAGCCTCCGAGCCTCGAAGCGCGGCGGAGCGCCCACAGCCTCCCGCGGTGGCTCCGCGCTCGCCGCCGTGCTCAGGGAGCGCGGGGCGCCGCCAGCTGCCGCCGCGGCGGGGAAGAGGCGGCGGCAGCACGGGGAGCCCGACGGCAGCGGCGAC